TGAAGCCCCTCAAGATCTTCAGCTTTTTTGTTCAATGTATGTAATCTTTTCTAATATGAACTTACACGTAGGTTTTGTAGGATAAAATTCCTTCAGGCACACACTAATGCTTTTTCCTCCTGGACTAAATTGTCGGAATGAGCTGCTTTGAAAGCTGTCACAATGACATAAAACACTTATTCTATCTGCCTCTTCCTTCACCGCCAGTGGGCAATATTATTTCATAAACAGTCGACTTCTCGGCTGATGTTGCCCACAGTACAAAAGCCACTCTTTTCAAAACATACATTTTAAGCATCCCATAAGGGCTGAGCACATGTACAGTGTCACATAAAAATAAATGGGAATGTTTTACACCACAAATTAAGTACCTGGTGGAAGCAGAGAAGAAACAGTAGCAGAATAGTTATGACATCTTGTTAGGGATGCAGAGGGGTTTTCCAGACTCATGGCAGAAACACTCCCCTACTGACAGCCACAATGGGTACTCGTGTCCATGGCCTCGCAGAAACTAGTTTAACCAAGTGAGACCTACTACCACATCAGTACCCTTAGACTTTTGCTTAAGAAGGCAGTCAGGGAGTATCTGCATTTCAGGCTGCACTCATCCTCAAACATGAAAAGTAGTTTTCTACCAATTCAAAGTTCTCCAAAAGTTACCACTTTGTAGATATGCTCCACTTTTAGTGAAAAGGACTATTAAAAGTGGGAGAAAGAGAAAAGAGAAAGAGAAAAAGACTATTAAGGTGGGAAGCATCAAACCAAACTAGCCATGGAGCATCCAGTGCTTCAGCACCTCAGGGGAGGAGCTGCTCATCATCTCTTGCTCTTTGCACTTTAGACTCTCAAATGAGACTACAGCAACCTGGCACTTCAGGGCATTCCCTTTTTGGGGGGCACACCATGAAAATCAAAGGGCCATGGTGTAAACAAGGCATCTGAAGGAAACTTTTTATGAAGAGCATCAGTAGTTTTTCTGACACAAAGCCTTTCACCCGAGGTGTTGCCTTTTCCCTCTGAGAAAAGGAACAAAAAAGGAACAGAAACAAAACTAAGTAATACAGATTTTCTCCCCAACTTCTACAGATGGATCTTTAACCAGATCATCTGAAAAGATCACAACAGAACTTTGAAAATATCCTTCCTTTACAACAATACACTTATCAATGTAAGTCAATGAGAAAATGAACATGATCCAGCTGTGTGCACTTGCAGCCCAGAAAGCCAACCGTACCCTGGGCTGCATCAAAAGGAGTGTGACCAGCAGGTCGAAGGAGGTGATCCTGCCCCTTTACTCTGCTCTCGTGAGACCTCACTTGGAGTACTGTGTACAGTTCTGGTGCCCTCAACATAAAAAGGACATGGAACTGTTGGAACAAGTCCAGAGGAGGCCACGAGGATGATCAGGGGACTGGAGCACCTCCTGTATGAAGACAGGCTGAGAAAGTTGGGGCTGTTCAACCTGGAGAAGAGAAGGCTGCGTGGAGACCTCATAGCAGCCTTCCAGTATCTGAAGGGAGCATATAGGGATACTGGGGATGGACTCTTCATTAGGGACTGTAGTGATAGGACAAGGGGTAATGGGTTCAAAATTAAACAGGGGAAGTTTAGATTGGATATAAGGAAGAAATTCTTTCCTGTTAGGGAGGTGAGGCACTGGAATGGGTTGCCCAGGGAGGTTGTGAATGCTCCATCCCCGGCAGTGCTCAAGGCTAGGTTGGACAAGGCCTTTGGTGACATGGTTTAGAGTGAGGTGTCCCTGCCCATGACAGGGAGGTTGGAACTGGATGATCTTAAGGTCCTTTCCAACCCTAACTATTCTATGAACTTCACCCTCTTGCTCATGAATGACCAACTGCAACTGCATAGAAACAACTTGAAAAGCCAGTAATATCTCTATCCTGCTTTACTTGAAATGACTGCTGCAATTGAAAGGAAAGCCAGAAGTAGATGAAAACCTATTTTCGCTTAATGCAATAACAATAATTCTATAAACATGTTAACAATTTCCTGCCTCACTCTTAATTTTATTTTCTCTCTCTTATATTCATTTAGAAGGATAATGATGTCATTTGTTATTCTGTCTAATCTTCGTTGAGCATAGGAGAAAGACAAATGAGATTGTTGGCATTTAGACAAAAAGGCAGATACTGTGGGACATAATTTGGGTATAACAAATTATTAGGCAGGTACATACTTGTAATTGGTACTTAGTTCTGCAAATTCATCACAAATTTGGTTGCATTTGTAATGGGTCCAGAATGTGCTTTCAGCTATTACTCGAGGGAGTAAATCTTACTCAGGCAAGCTGAACAGAATTCAAGGCAAACTCTTCCATGATGAAAGCTCTCAGAAACCAGTGCCACGTGAGTTGGGATTGATCGATATATTCATCACCATTTATGTTTGGGGTTTTCTGTGTTTTGTTTTGACTGGCGTTTGTTTTATTTTGGGTTTTGTTTTTACTTTATTACTTCAAATTAAATTTATCTGTAATTTCATTTGTAGAAAGTGGAGACAAAACATTAAACCAGCATGCTTTCAAATAAATCCTAATTACTTACAAATGCAAATGCATCAACTAGCCTTGGACATGCAATTAGATAGCTAATTATTATGAAAGGAGACAACAGCAGATTGTAATACACGCTGTCAGGTCCTACGTTCATGAAATGTCAGATCAGCTACAAGTGGCCCAGGAAGAAGCTTTTGCTGTTGTTCACGGGATATAAATGATGGATGGAGTCACCAGGGGGATCGATACGAGCCTGCCACAGCGGGAGGTGGTGATGTGTCACCTTGTGCTTTCCTTGGCAGGGGCTTGTAAGAGAAATGGTAGGACTGGGGTACTGGTTAGAAACATTCCTAAGTCGTGGCCGCCTTCTGGATGCTGTCCGCTGCACCGAGGCTCCCATGTGAGCAATGGAGAGACTGCGACAAGTGAGCAAGAAGCACATTTCCAGTTCCCCACTTTCAGGATTCTCTTTGCTTTGGGATTTTGAAACAGCAGTTGCACTGAACTGAATGTATTTTTACAATTCTGCTTGTCTGCAAAGACAGTTCTCCATGAAATCTTCCCTGTATAAGCCTCATTCAGATCACTGGCCTACCCATAATCCTTCAAAGGCCTCATGTCTCTTCTTACAGACACGTAGTCTGACCCAGCAACGCCACTCTAACAACCCCCCACCGCGAGCAAAGCTGGGAGAAAGGGAAACCAAAGCTCTCCAGAGTAAATTTCCATTCCTAGGCTGCTAAAAGCATAGAGCTGACACAAAGGTAATAAAGAAACCTTCCCCGCATGAGCCACCAATCAGCAGAATGTGATTAGACCATGATAAAACCAGATTTGCCCAAAAAAGATTCTGCAGAAGCAATAGCTGGCTAACGATACACCTCACGAGATGCTCACTTGCTGATGTAAGGGAGATCTTAATCCTCCTGGAAAAATCACTAGAGATTAATAAAAAGTTCTGTTTATTTTCTGTATGTATTTTTAAATAGTTTTCCTGTTGATAAAGTCAATGTGTTTCCAGATACTTTTGAGACTTCATATATCATGGTTCTGATAGCAATTAAGAGAATGCTACACGAATCCACCTGAGTTATCTTTTTGCACCAAGATTTTGCCATGTTATATTTCCATTTTGAAATGCTATCACCGCTCACAGAAATGTAAAACAGATCTGTCATTTACCTTTGTTGCACTGTACCAAAGTCTAAAAACACTGAAAGCATTCCTAATTCACTCTGCCTATGGGAATCAAGCAGCAATATGAAAGGCAGATAGCAGTGCTATTCGCTGTGCATCCACAGCAGCCAACTTCCCCCTTGGACCACTCCTTGTGCCGACTATCTTGTAGCCTGTGGCACTGGCATGAGATTACTTCAACTGATTGATTCAGCCCATTCCCTAAGTTACACATGAGAAATGGCAACAACGGTAAAAAGCAGGAGCCAAGGAAGGGGCAGAGAGACAGGAGCCAGACAATAAGCCTCGGTGTAAGAGGAAGTTTAACCCAGGGATCTCAGCAGAGGCAACTGTGGCAAGATGGGATTTGCCATAAATCCCTTTAGATCCCATCTGGCTGGTGTGAGTGCAGTCAGGAGAGAGAAAGCTAACGTCATCTGCACAACCTAGGTGGCATTCAGTTTACCCAACTGTTTCTGTCCTTTGGGATTCTTTTTAAGGGCTCTCAGGGATTTCTCTGTGTACAAACCCCTCACAACTTGCCTGCTGTTTTTAGGGCAGTGCTTTGAAGCAGCTACTCAAATACTATCCTACTGTGTGAGTAGCCCTGTTATAAGTGAGGAAACCATACATCAGGTGAAGTAGATGACTGTGATTAAAGGACTGCAGCACTGTTTCCTTAATCAGCAATTGACAGTCGCTTTTCTTCTCAAGTATAAAGTACCACAGCTACTCTAACTACAGCGTGAGACACTTTTCCCTCTCAACAGCTCCTTTACTTCTGGTTCCCCTTTTCTCTCACTCACACGCTTTTACTTCTGTTTCAGAAAGCTCAACTTGGCTACAGTACTAACTTCTGTTCTTATTCCAGTATTCTGGGGTGTCATATGATATTTTGTTTTCCAAGATAGGAACAAAGTCAAGCCGTACCAATTCCAGCCACCACAAACACAGTAAAATGCTTACAGTGAGAAGCAAGGAAAAAAAACCATAAAGCCTTAAGGTGCTTAAAATGCTATATAGACAGGATCTACACACTGTGCCCTATTCCTGCTGAAATCTTTGATTGTTTAGGCAGCAGTCTATGTCAAAACCCATTTCAATAATACCCTAACTGGCTCGGCAGCCTCCTCTCATTTAATAGATTCAATCATTTCTTGCTGATGGAAGGCAGAAATCACAACTAAAAGATGCCATTTATAGTACATTTCTCTCCTGACTGTAATGTTTTATCACTTACAATCTTTTGGACAAGATTCCATATCTTGCTCAATGTGTCATGAAAAGGGAAAACAAACATGAGGCAGCGGCAGCTTTGTCACCATCTTTACTGAACTCATTAATCAATGTTTGTACCGTTAGCAATCCAAAAACCAAGCAGGACAGCAAAGGCCCAGAATGCTGCCTGCAGCCCTGAGGCTTTTTTTTCCTTCCCAATGCAAATAATCTGCCTGTATTTTATAGTGCTAGAAGTCACATCTAGTATTCAATTATTCAGAATACTTCAGCATAATTCGTATTTTATGAGCCCACAGTAAACCCAGGTTAATTGGTTTCTGTCAGATTACGAGTTTAATCCAGGAACTCCAAGCAGCCGGGTCAGATTAGCAGTGCTTCATTCCTTTCTCAGAAAAATCCATTACACTGAAGAGTCTTGATCCTCTACAGCTGAAAAGTGTGGGAAAACTGTCATTAAACTGAACACAACCACTTTCAAATAATACAACCCAGTCGATCTTTGCTGCAGTAGGAAAGAAATGTATCTAATCAAAAGTGATTTCAAACGTTTCACATCTCTCTTTTACTAATAAAACCCCCCACTCAACCACAAAATGAAACAAAAACCCCAAAATATTTGGAAAAGATACGTTTATAACAGAAAACATTCATTTTCAGAGTGCTTTAGGGCTATATATATTTCTGGCTGGATAAGTAGATTATTGGAACTGATTTTCTTTCCCAGTGCATTCTGCATGCGAAATTGAGGAGGAGGGAGACCTGGTGGGGTTTTGCAGTAAGAAGCATTGATTCAAAGAACGCCCTCTGATGTGTTTACGGCAACATCAGCTAATGACTATTCATTACATACAGTGAACATCTTTACAACTTGCTCCCTAGGTCTGCTGGAAAGAGCAACAACAAAGCCATTAGGAGTCTGAAAACCATGCCAGTATGCCCCCTTTGGAAAGCCCCAGATGATGTAGTCTTCCCAGATGGTCTCTTCACTTCTTATGGGGAAAGGCCCTGGCTGTCAGAGGTGTTGAGCACCTATAATTTAGTCAAGAAAATCTCTTCTGTAGACTCAAAACTGAGAACTGACTTTGTAAAACTATTAAACCCTCACAATATTAACTTTGCAAAGACTGCTTATCTTGTTACCATGTTGTATCTTCAATTTCCAGGTTAAAGGACAAAACAGATTTAGGCTGTATCTTCCAAGGACACTACCTGCAATAAAACGTGGAGCTGGAGATTGCTTATTCACTGAGTACGCACAGTGGCTCGAGTTGCCCACCTTCAGCCTCCCCTTCCTAACTTCTTCAGCTTTGCTTTGCCCTTTTTGTAGCTAATTTCTCACATGTCAGTTATAGTGCCTATGTCCTTTGTGTGAGGGTTGTAGAGGCCAAAAGAGGGGTGTTTTAAAGGAATTGTCTTGAACTTTTTCTTGTAAGAAAGATATTTACCGGGCATAAAGACTGTAACTACTTATTTTGTGAGGGACTGGAGAGACACTGAAAACTCACAAGAAAATATCAGATTCCCATTACTGCTATGAACATTTTTTAAGATCAGATTAGGTAAGTAATTAAGCTAGAAATGTCAATTATAGTAATCAAGTTTTATACTCACACCAAAGGCAAAACCCATTGGATCAAAGATGACCCTCTGCATCCCCACCTCTTAGACTGACTCAGTAACTTAGTTCTGTTTGCACACATAAAAAGTCTCAGGTAACACTCTTTGCTACTGTTTCGTCAATGGTACCTGAATCCTTATCACCTTCACAGTTCAGGTAAATGAAATGATAAATAAGCAAACGGCTGTTGGTCATGAAGGGACAGAGATTTCTGAACAGAATCTTCCATAATTAATGGATTATGTCCCTTAATCGACATTAATGAAAATAGGACTGAATGCTTGAGATACAGCCACTTTTTCAGAAGCAAATTAAAATGAGGGTCTTCTCATCTTTGCATTTTGGTGATGGCAGATGGAAGGGGTCATATGCCCAGTAACAGCCAACTACACACCCTGTATTTGCTGTAAGCGGATAACTGACCTGCAGATGCGACACACTAAAATCAATAAGTGTACCTGTAGGGATTCTGTAATTTACCCTGCTGTGAGACAGGGAGCACAGGGCAACCGGTTATCCACAGAGGGTATGATTACCCAGCATGAAAAGGAATTTAATGACCTTGCAGTGCCCTCTCTTTGATAGCCACTTGCTCTGTGTGATCAAAAGTATGAGGCTGCACACCGCACCATAGAGTTAATAAACAGTTTTTCCAGGAAATCTTTTTCCAGGCACTGAGAGGCCACAGATTTCTACACATACAGTTGACCTTTACATAACACTTAATTCCCAGGTGGCATCCAAATATGACAGACCCATCTGTAAAGTCATTCTTTCATCAAATTAGATGTTTGATGGCATCCAGCAGATTTAACTTTCATCTAAGCAGAGAGATAGTAACATGCCCTGTTTTCACCAGTGTGAAATTTGAAGGTGAACACAATGATTAATTATCTCTTTTCTTAAACCATTGCCATTTTTAAGATAGAGCTTCAGCTCTCTGGTGGGGAATATGCCTATAAAGTACGGATTAAAAAAACTCAGAATTGAGTAGATGCTTTATTCGAGATCAAAAGATAGGCAGGTGTCAAAATCCATCTTTGATAACACACCATCCATCAGCTTTGAGCCACTTCCTAAAGTTTACATTTTTCTTTCCACCGCTACAGTAATGACATTTTGCACAACACATCACACCACACTTTATATTCTCCTATAAAAGCAATTTTCATTCTTGTTTCCAAGCCTGTATCCAAGCTTAAGCTTTGCATTTTTGATAAAGTAAATCATATAAAAGATGCACAATTGCAAAACCAGAATCTTTCCTATTATAATCTCCCCAGTGACTACTATCAAAAGGCAGCGCATACCCCATTAAGAGGTGTTATGCTTCTGTATACAAACTTTACTCTTAATAGCTTGTTCTTTCAGAATAAGATTACCTCATTAGCATGGAGGAATGAGTTTGGGTAAATGAATGGTACCTATATTGTCCATAAAGCTGAAATACTATTACATACGTACTTCTCTAGGGAGATTCAAGTAAGATTTAAATCAATTCACAGCACATTTTTTATGATATAAAAAGGGGGAAGAAAATGGTACATCTGGTGTGAGCTGACCTTCCCTTGGGACACAAAACTATTGATCCCATTTTCTCCAGCATCTGTTAGATGTCATGGTAAATGCAATTAAAGATGTGGTATGCTGTAATTCTCATTTGTCTTGCTTTCCTGCAGGCAGAAAGCACCTTTCTAAATTCTAATATTTACCCCTTATAATATCTGTCTCCACTGTCAAGCAATAACAGCTGGACTTCACTAATCAGGAGGAAACTCTGAACTCAGACCTCTGCTGTCTCTCTAATGAAGAGATGACAAATTCCTCTCTTCTTCATCTGATTTCTTGATCATTTTTAGGGCGCTGACCTGCTCAACACTCAAATTTGCAGGTGCTAATTGAACAGGCTCTAATTAAGCCATTTACTACATATGTAACATCACAGCAGAGCAATTTAAATAAACTAAGGATTTTAACACGAAGAAAAAGCTGTTGTTAGGATGTTGGAAGAATACCTGCATTCACTTACATTTCATATGGTGACTTTCCAGTTTTAATATAGACTTGGTTTCACAGATCCAAAGGATTTTTAATGCAAACTTTGTTTCACTAACCAATTCAATGATGTGTGCATTATATATATACTACCCGATCTTTTATCTGTATTCCAAACAGAGATCATGCTACAGATAAATTCTTCATTATTAGCCAACAATACTCACACTGAGCTTTCTATTTTCTATCTTTTACACACAGATGAAAGTTCGAGACCGTGCTATATACCCATGGCGTTCAGAGACCATAACCTCCTTTTAATCATGCAAAACTCCCCCCCCTTCTTAATATTTGATAGTCACTCAGTCCTGAATGGACTGAAAATCAACCTATACCTTTTCTACACCAGCAACTTCATTACCAATGAGTAAGGCTTTTATTAGAATTTCTGAAATGTGTTTATTTTGGGAGCAACTTTGACGTCATTCCCAGAATCCTGTAGAAAATCAAATCAGTAGGAGGCAGCTTTAAAAAGGATCAGAATTTGGCCAGGTTTTGAAAGAGTTGTTAGTCATTGTGAAGGACTAGAACTCAATAAAATCTGACTGCTTGTTTTCAAACCAACCAACCAACCAGCGTTTTTTGCCCATGTAACACTGGCATAAGGGTTTTAGTAAAACATTCATTGAATTTTGCCTGCTGTAATACAAAGCAATTACTTTTACAGGTGACTTGCTTAAGGTTCATGAGCAAAAGACCTCCGAATGACTTTTCCCACACCTTTGAAAACTTCCTCACAGAAGTTCTGCCATTTGGTGCCACTGTGCACCACAGTGTTCCAAGTCGAAGAGCAAACTCCACACCACTAAACTAAACCATCCTACCACTACAGCAGGAACATCAGTTTGCATTTCTATGAGCACTGAAATAAAGGTGGAAAAGACTGACCACAGAGGTGGCATAAGGAATCTTCCAAAGTACACTGACCTGCTCTGGGGCAGCCTCTGAGTAAAACACCATAACTCTCTCTTAGCAAAAGCTGTTATTCACAACAGCTTTGTTCAGCTTCAGGATGAACTTTCAGAGAGATTTACCTACAGAGAAAATCTAAAGATTAAAAAGTCAAACTTCAACATAAAAAATACAGTTTCCAAATGTGTTAAATTTTAAGATGCACCCTTCCTTCATGTTTTCATTGGCCCTCAGATAGGTTTAATAAATCTCAGATAGATTTCTGAGTGACTGCTTGTGAAGTAGAGCACCACACAGCAGGAATAAAGCTCTGACACCAAGTGATCTGCAATGTTAAAACTGTCAGACTTTGCAGGTTTTCACTAAATCTTCAGCCTAAATTGCTTTATTAGTCAGAGCTACAGAGAGATTAATATGGCCTCAGAGCCCTAGAGCCAACTTAATTTGGTACCACCATCTGTACTGGCTAGTTAAATGTTTCTGTGTAGTCCTTTTTCTCTTCCCATCCCTCTCAGATGCTCAGACAACTATGGGAACCTGAGCAGGATTACTACTTCTATCAATCCAAAGTTCAGAAGGCCTTTGAGGTTCTTTTGGTGGACATGAAAATCAGAATTTGTCGTTTGAGAAAATGCCACCATCACCCTGATTAGGGCTTGCTCCATTTCCCACAAATTCTTTTTGTAACAAAGACACAGAAGTGAGCTAAAGTTACTCATTTTGTAGAGGGGTGCATGTAAACAAATTTGGTGCAGGGCAGCTGATCTTTTCCAACTAACCAGTACAATGCAATGACTGTACAGTTAATATCAGATATTACTTAATAGCAGATATTAGGGAAAAATTCCTTCACTATAAGAGTGGTGAGGTGTTGGCACAGGCTGATGAGAGATGCTTTGGCTGCCCATCACTGGCAGTGTTCAAGGCCAGGCTGGATGGGGCTTGGAGCAACCTGCTTTAGTGGAAGGTGCTCCTGTCAGTGGCCGGAGGGGCAGAATTAGGTGGTCTTTAAGGTGCCTTCCAAAGCAAACCTCTCTGTGATTCTATGACTCTATGAATATAAGTATTATAACTAACTTTCTCATCTAAAGAATCATCCTTCCTCTCTTCTTTTGCAGCTAAAAGGTTGAAGAATTCAGCACACTTAGAGCACACACTGGAACAACCTCTTGGCAATTGCACAGGTTTCAAGATCCAATTTGAACATGATGAAGGGGTAGCCCCTGACCCAGGAAAGCACTTAAATGTATGTTTTACTTTATGGTGGCAATCCTAGTAGTTCAGTTTTAGTGAGCTAACTCTGTGTTACTAACCCCATCTATTTCTCAGTATGGAAATACAGAGAAGAATGAAGCTGCCTTGAATCTGGCTTCTGCTTTGCAAGGTTTGGGGATTTTTTTCCCTTTGTTGATTTCACATCTCAGAAGAAGTAGAGAAACAACTTTGCCTCTTGACTGAAGAAGATGACTGTCTGCCAATAGAAACACACAGTTTTCTCTTTGCTGCTCACAAGGAGTTTTCAAAAGCAGTGGGAAGGCTGGAAAAAGTTGTTTGATATAAAGCATTAAGGCTTGATTCTCAATCACCGACTTGGGTTTTTGACAGGAGAGGGAAAAGGTAGACAAGCAGTCCCAGAAGTGATAAACAAGTGGGAAACTCCTCGGGACAGCTGACTTTCTGTTTAAGTGGAAACACAGGCTTGACTGTAAACTCTGGGGATCGTGATCAAAGCAGGTCACCCGCCTTTGCAAAACAGACCATCTGATCTCCATTTTATATCAACAATAGATGAACTGACGAACTAGCCACAAGTCCGACATAATAAAGGCAAACAGCTTTCAGCCTACAATAAACTTACCTTGAGGCTACACAAATGTCATCTTTGAATGTTTTCTGGCATTACTTGATCTGTCTCACCCAATTAATACTAATACACTACCCAGCTAATACAAGGGCTTCAAGGATTTGTTACCCATCATTATGATGGTAATGAAGCACTCAGCACAAGATAAGACTCGTGAGATGGTTTTGTTGTGGTTTAAAAAATATATTCAGAGAAGTAACATCCTAATATTGTGCTGCAATACACTTCTATTATGTGGAGGTTTCTAAATTCTTCTCCAGCAACCTGTGGCTTACAGATTCTTAGAAATGTTATTTGAAAATCTTAAAAATTCACCTGCCATTCACTCTCACTGTCCTCTTTTTTAGGAAACTCAGTTTTAGGTACACACAAATACACATAAAGGGATATGCTTATACAAAAGCATGGTTTATAATTGCCAATAATTCTATCAGCATTGCTGTAAGTTAAATGTTCTGTACAGTTTCATTCTTGAAAGAAAAAGATCTGTATTTTTTCTATATGAGAGAATGTGAGATTTTCAAATTTCTTCCAGAAACGTGCACGAGCGAGCTGTCCTAGCCACATCAGCATGAAGGTTCATTTACCTTGATGAAAACCAGGGTAAGGGAATCTAAGCAGAGCCTCCCTACACTTCCAGGGCTAAATAGCTCCTCTAAAGCTTTTATCTACCCTGAACTCCCACTGGGAGTGTCAACATACCTTGATCTCTTTGTACTCTATTCCCCATCTATAAAATGGGGATTAGTCAATGCCAAAAAGGAGCTCTGTAATATATTAAAGAGTGTCAGGTTCTTCAATCACATGAACCACAAATTCCTAAGTACCGCTGCACAAATAAGTTCACTTCTGCTTCCAATGTAAAAAGTTTGGTCTTTAATATTATATTTTAACATCTCTTTCTAAAACACAAAACCTATCTCCTTTGCAGAATATGAACAAAAATAATCTCCTGAGACAGCTGCAATCTCAGCACAGTAATTACTACAGCTTCTAATATGCTGATTTTAAAAGGCACAATTACCAAGAAAGAAGCTATGTGATTCGGTGTGTTTGGCAATACCATAAACTAATAAACAGTGGTAAGAAATCTACAATGCATTTTATGGGCCAAGTGTAACATATTCCATAAAAATTGATCTTATTATTTTGACTGTATCTAGACATTGGATCCCGTCTGTCATAAACGCTCTTACTGCCAGTTAACCTTCGATTTTAACAGGCAGCCCATGCCTGACATTTAATTAGTGACCCAATTAAATCTTTTGCTGTTCTCAGCTTATTTTACCACTTAGAAGTAAAAGACAGATACCCAGACAGGCTTCCATGAGGAAGAAATTACAACTGCTTTTATTAGCTGTTAGAATAGTTATTCTGGCTGTATAATGAGATGAGGCCTTTGACCATTTCCTTAACATTGGGATGTTTGTCTTAGATCCTCAAAGCCATTCCCAGGGATTCTTTTAGTAGTTTTATGGGAACATGACAGTTGTAAAAAAGAAGAATTATCAATATATTATGTACTGGCTATACTGCCATTAACAATACTAACACATGATTCATCCACTAAGGTATGATAGAAACATGTCCATAGGCACAAAGGCCGTCACAAATTGATAATGAATACCTAAACGCTGGTCTATAGAGTTCTATGTCCTCCCTTCAGTATAATTTTAATCACCTTACAAAGATTTCACCATTAGCTAAATAGACACTATGAAGTTGTTATGGCATCTCCTCAGGGTGGTTTCATTATGTCAATACAGCACAGTTAACTAGTAACCCTGTGTATCTGCAACAGTACTAAGCTCCTTTCCCTCTTCCCAGCTCAGGAGAGGAAGGTTTTGGTTCCACTGTTTTCTTTTCAGATACCTTTTCCCTGGTGTTTTGATTCTGGAAAGAAGCTCCCATAGAGGGAAAGTCTTCTGAAGGTTACAGCTGTTACTGAGAAGTCATTAGGAAGGCACTGGTGCAATGGCCGTGCTTGCAGCAGCATCCCTGGGCTGGCTGCCTGCTGCCTGCCTCACTGCACTCCTGGGACAGCCCTGGGAATTACCGCATGCAAAGGAACGAATGGAAGCCTAGTCCGATGAGATCCCTCCAGTTGTTACTGTTCTTGTATCTTCCTTATATATCATCCTTCATACAAATCCCATCATATTTGCCAGTGGTACCACAGGGTTGGCCCAAAATGCAGCAGATATCAAGGATCATCAAGAACTAAACCTATCTGCATCGCCAGGCTGATGGGAGAAAAACTGAAGTCCCCCAAGCTAGCTTACAAAGTACTGAGTGTGTTCACAAGAGAGTTAAAGCAAAGCAGCTAATGCTCTGTGAAATCCCACCTTGAATTACTGCGCACAACCATCCCACACACAAAAACCCAATTAAGGACAACTGAAATCAACCATTCCCCTCTTGTTAGCAGAGATGTGAGACTGATGTTCATCTTTAGAAGGGAGGGATACAAGGCAGGAAATCTTCTTATCCAAACTCACTCACTTCAGGTTTTATGTATGCCATTGCATTTATTTAGAAATCAAAGAGAATTTTAATTCTTTTTTTAATTATGAATTACAGAATTGTTGATGTAAGAGGCAGAAATGTCATTGGTAGAAGTCTGTGCTAAGGGTATCTTATTAGAAGGTCTGCTTATAGATGTCCAAAAATTATTTATCTTGCTTTAAATCAATTTGAGTGAGAGTGACTAGCACCACATAAGTTTCTATTTTTACTAATTACAATTAAAGAGCAATATTAAGATGAGACAGTTATAAATAAAGCTTGTTGAGCAGCGTGTCGTTATTTTATAAAGCTTAAGTTGTGCCAAGTTAATGGATGGAACTTCAAGCACATGTGGAAAGAACAGATTTTGTTAACCCTTTCTATGCTAGTAACCGAAGACAATTGCTATTTCATTAATAACTGCTGGGCTGCATCAGGATTTACATCATTCTTTCGATGGTAGTCAAGGAGTTAATGGACATCTGGAATGTGCCTTTTTAAAGATCATGGACACATTCAAACTACTTTTATCTTGGAAGTGGTTCAGTGCATCTGATCTACTGTGGTATAAAACTGGAGGAGCTGTCACATACAGTAACTGAATGGTTTGAAGAGAAAAACATTTCCAGCTGTAACATACAACAGTTCCTATGCAAGCCGGAATGCATTTAGTAAATGATCTTTTTCATGAGAAAGAGGCTACACTGTATCACAGGATTGAAGGACAGCCAATGAATATACACTAAAACCAGG